GGGGTGGGGGGGTTCTGAAACATCCTTGCCGGCTTAGGCACCACCAGCAGTTACTTACATCCCCGGAGTTGGGACTGGGCAGAGGGAGATTCTGGGAGAGCACTGGGAAGTGAAACCCCCCAATCTCCGTCTTTTCGTGGGCCGGGGATGAAGGCAGGCTGGATGGGGGGGAGGTCGGGGTGAGGGACCCCAGCTCTGGAACGCTGTTGAATTTAGGTGGGCGACCTGAGCGATAAAAAAATAAAAGGGAAAAAAAAACAAAAAGGAAAAATGGGGAAGAAAATATTTTCTAACATACCTTTGACAAGGGGTCCTCATTGGCTAGCGTGGAAGTAAAAAAAGGAGGAGGAGCACAGACAGGAGAGTTAGTGCAGAAGCCAGAGGAAAAGCAACAAGCGGGTACCGATATTAAAACAGGAGAAGCAGGGGAATGCCCTCGCTCTTCAGGGGCTGAAAGGGCAAGGGTCAGGGCCTGCAGGCACAAACTGGCAGAACGGCAGCTGAAGCAACTAGAACACAGCGCCAGCGAACCCTCAAGCGCTCTCACTCTCCCGCTGTGATGCACTGTGAAGCACTTCACAGCTTCGCAATCATGACATCCGAGGAGTCGCCAGCCGGGATTACCTTCTCCAGACGGCTCGTGTTAAAAAAATGGAGGACACTGGTGCAGAATGAACTCTTTAATGGAGAAAGGCCCCTCGGCTAAATATTTCTTATCTCCCAATACGACTGAGCGGAGGGGAGGTCACGTTCAGTTGAAATCTGCAGCTGGTCTTTTAGACACAGCGCAATAATAAGCTATAAAAATGCACCAGGTTTGTCCGCGATTCGTGAGCTTCTCTGTGACTCGGGTCTGTATGCATGCTTTCCTTTAACCCAGCTTCTGTGCGCATGTGGTACAACCCAGAAATCACGGTGCTCGTTTAAACTTTGCCGAATCCACAATCGCGTTTTTCGTCTCTTGAAATTTCAAACCCACACTTCTCCGTTTAACATCCAAGCAGAAAACCAACTTTTCCATTCTTTAAAAAAAAGCATTGCTCCATACAGACGTGCAAAGAGATGAAATGCTTTGCTGAGGAGAGCCAAGGAGCACAGAAGCTAGGGCAATCTGCATTATATTAAGATTTCTACAGCACTGGTAGGCTGCCAGCAATAACTTTACACATTTTAGCATCAGAATCATGCATAGCCCCTTCTCAGCCACCCTGGCTGCTCAGAATGACATTGTAGTGATGTTACAGCTGCAGCCATCACCTGCTAAGTACAGTTCTTACGAGGCTCGAGGGAGAGCTAATTTATGAATGGCTGTCTAATAAAAGCTACCATGGAGTTACATTAGCTGCGGGGAATGTTTACAGCGATAATAAAATAAAAACATTCCAAACGGTCCAAGAAAAGATGCATGCTCAGTCTGGTCTCCCTGGGGCGCTCCATGACGGAGCGGCGCAGTGTCATACTGACCTCTCTTCCTCGTCCCTTGGTGAATGGGGCTGTTCAGGTACGTTACTGCACTCTTCTTGCGCTGCAAGCGTGGCAAAACATCGTGTTTTAAAAAAAGTGAGGCTTGTGACAAAAAACATACTGATAAGGCAAAATGAACTAGAACACAAAATCGGGATGATGTGTTTTACATGTAGTAAAAAAAAGCTTAGCTATATCACTTAATTTACAGAACTACAACTGAATACATTCTCAAGGCAAGAGCACAATCATTCATCAGTTCTTCATTTTTACATGTAGCTTTCCTTCATACAGATAATTGCTGTGGCAGCGTCATTATAAAGTTGCTGCACTTTTATTAACTGCAATGAAAAATTTGGTGGCTACAGGATAGGCTGTTGACACAGCTTTACGATGTTGTCACAAGCCGAAAGGAAACTGTTAAACACAATACCATCGAAGTATTTGCTCGCTGGCATCTTGATGAGGTGTATGAGGCTTTTGTGAGGAGGCGTTTGTAAAAATGTACAATGCAAATACTTTAAATGATTTGTAATGCAACTACAACACAGTCTGAGATCAACAGAATTTGATCCCCACTGTTCTGGCCTTGATAAAACCTTTTGTCCAGCTACACCACATCACAACCCTCCTGCAACACGTCGAGGCCCTGTCGCAGAGGGTGCCAAGCCGGAGCTTGTTGGAAACGTGGGAAAGGGATCGGGAGATCTCGGCCCTGCAGTCCATGCGTCTGTACCTCGGGCTCAAACACTGCTCCGCTGTATACAGGATTGGCAGTAGTCCTTCGCTTGCGCTCCTGCCTCCGGCTCTGGATTTCTGTCGTCGTGTAAAGAAAGAAGACAACCAGAGCTGCATTAGCTTCACAGGAAAGTACACGAGGTCTCGTGCGCGTGCCCATTCCCCTTCCATGAGTATGACTGAGGGACATTAAAAAGGTAAGAAATGAATCTAACACTCTGCAGCTTTTATTTAATTTTTTAATGCCTCCCATTATACTTATACAGGTATGTATGATGCTCATCTCATTTCATTCATTTTGGCCAGCAGCCATGTCACCCTGCAGCTCCCAGCTGGCAGCCCACTGTAGCTCAGCAGGTGTGAGCCTGGTCAGTACCTGGAGGGGAGACTCCTGGGAAAGCTGAGGCTGCTGCTTGAAGAGGTGTTAGTGGGGCCAGTAGGGGACGCTCACCCTGCGGTCTGTGTGGGTCCTAATGCCCCAGTATAGTGACGGGACACTATACTGTAAAAAAGGCGCCATCCTTCGGATGAGACGTAAAACTGAGGTCCTGACTCTCTGTGGTCAATAGGAGTTCCAGGGTGTTTCTCGAAAAGAGTAGGGGTGTTACCCCAGTGTCCTGGCCAAGTTTCCCCCCTGGCCTTTACCAATCATGGCCTCCTAATAACTCCCATCTCTGAACTGGCTTCATCACTCTGCTCTCCTCCCCACTGACAGCCGGTATGGTGAGCGTACTGGCACATCATCCAGGTGGGGCTGCACACTGGTGCTGGTTTAGGGGATCCCCATCACATGTAAAGGTGCTTGTCTCTGTGTTTGCAGTGGTTAGGACTCAGCAGGAATAAAGCTTCTTTGTACTCTACCTTCAAGATGGTCGTGCGTCACTAATCCCAGGGACACCATGAAGGCAAGTTTCTACAACGGGAGAAAGAAAACGCGGATTTCTATTTCGTTTTTACCCCGATGGGATGTTTTCAAGGTTGCATTCGAGACGGAACAGTGACTGCCAACGAGACAAGTTCAACTTGTTCTCCAGGCAGGCACAGCCCAGCGGGCTCCGGACGGATCAGAACCGAGGTCGAGGGTCTCACCTGCGGGTTATCCTCTCGCTTGGGCTTGGGGGGAGCCGGGGCAGGAGGAGGTGGAGAAGGAGAGACGGTCACTGGCGACTTGTCCTCGGTCCCGCCCTGAACTTTAACAGTCTGGAGGAGGCACGAGAACGAAGAGGAACTTAATCCACCGTCAGCCAGGCCGGGGGCAATCTGATCAGGTGCCGACCGATTTATTTTTTTGCACATCATCTCCTGATTGTTTTACGGCCGCTGACGGCTGTCCTACATTTAAAAAACTCCATGCACTTTAACGCTCTTTAAGATACAAAAAAAATATCTTGAGTGTCCCCTAAGAAAACAGGTCATGGCTAACTCATCAGCCTTGACAGCTATTCCTGTTTCGCTGGGGCTAGGCTACAGGATAGGCCAACCTTGACCCCGTTGACCCCATGACCCCGACCCGCCTCACCTTGGCGTCTGTGTTGGCGCTGCTGATCTGCAGGGTCTGCGACCCCGCTATCCTGGTGCCCGGCGCGGTGATGACGATGCTGGTGAGCTGCGCCGGAGAGATGGTTTTGGCGATGGTGGCGCAGGGCTGCCCGTTCATGATGCGCACCTGGTGGATGGAGCCCGTGGCTGTGGGCAGGGAGGTGGCCGTCACCTTGGTCAGCATCACCGGTCTCTGGATGAGCTGGGGGGCCGCCAGCATGGGGGGCGGCGCGGGGGCAATGGGCACATTGTTGGGCGTTATGGGCTTGGGTCGCACCTGGAGGAGGAGGAAGAGGAGGGTGGGTAGGGTTAGACCACCACCTTCGAGTACTGCACAGCACAGACCTTCGAGAGGAAAATAGGCCCGGACAATGCAATGCATTTAATTAGTACTAGAAGAAGTATTAGAACTAATCAAGCACCCAGTTGCGTAAGGCTGTTAACATTCTTTTTCCAGCTGAATGGGTAATGGATGCCTGTTAAAATGAACAAGAGTGGAGCACTACAGCAGGAGAGCTTGGCTCCAATGAACAACCTCGACTGTCTAAAGCTCACAGTGTGTTTTTTGGCAGTATTGAGCCCGTATGGGGAGAAAGTACTGCCTGAATCTCTGGGAAACTACGGTAAAATCCCCAAAAAGTAATCATATTAGCCTACCTAATTTGACTTTAAAAGAATTACTACCCATTCGGGCTAAAGAATCGATTCTAAACACCCGGACTCATATACAGTAATATTCCTCAGGCATTAGCAATCCAGAACCAGTTTATGTATTTATTTTCACTTTCACTTTAAAAATTCTCCCTCCCTGCCCCTAGTCAGTCTGTACTTCACTTGCCCTGCACAAAATCACAACTACAGCATCTCTCTAGTGTAGCCCTCAACACAAAGTGGAGCAGGACACCCTCTGATTAACAAACACACTAATTAACTTTCCTGCTGTCTGTACGCCTCGCTGCACCGTGACAAAAAAAAACAAACAAACAAAAGTTGGCGCATTCCAAGGGAAAAAAACATGAGCCATGCTACATCCATCGGTAACGAGAATGTGAAACTGCAGGTAGCAAACAAGCAAACACGACAGTTAAACTAAAAGGGAAGATAAAGGATTTCATTAAAGTGGGGGAGACAAAATTTGTCGAGCAACAAAAAAAAAAATTAACCGTTTCGGGGTTTAACAGGTGTACAGGCGGAGATATAATAAACAGCAGCAACAGAAAATATGTTAAGATAAACATTTGCAGAATTAGTCATGCCCAGATGATTCTATAAATGGCACAAGCGCAAGGCCAATGTCATGATGGTTTGCGACTGGGGATATCAAAGGCCTTCGGGGGAAGTTCCCTCCCTGTCTACTCATGGCACTAACAGCTGCTGATTCATGCTTTCAACACAGAGGCAACAATGACGAACCTGTGGCAGAAAGTTGGGTCGAGGCGTCAGTCGGGGAGGAGGGATAAACTGAGGAACTTTGATAGTGTGGGCAGTGGTTGTTGCCTGCACCTGTGACGAGACAGTGACCACTTTCAAACATCGGAGGTACGTTACAGTGGCTCGATTTCCGCTGGGGTCTTATGGTATTTTAAGCATATTTTTTTTTGTTAACTGTACACCGCAAGTTGAAATCCACATAAGCAGAGAATGAAACTTAACTGCCTTTGAGGCACGTTCTCTAAGGTCAAGAATGGTGAAGACAACAAGTAAGGATACGGAATAAATGCTTTCTTTTTTAACACTTAGTGGGACAGCCCCCTAAAAGAGTATTTAGAACATTAAAAAAAATCAGTATTTTCCCGTCACTGAGAGGAGAAAGAAACATAAATGGCTTACTAATGTGACAGCGTTTTTGGACACTATCCTCACGGCCTCGGTGCCGGGACTGGCAAGCTTGCTGGAAGTCTGGAGATTGATGGGCGCGTTCTGCATGTCCGTGTTGGCGCTGGTTTTCTGCGTGTTGCTGATCGCGGTCACCATGGCGACAGTGGGCCTCTGCGTCACGACGGAGGCGGGCATCGTCTGGGCGGCAGCTTTGAGCACGAGAGGTAGAGTCTTGGTGGCGATGACCGGCGTTACCGTCACCGTTTTCTACGACAGAAAAAGAGATTTCCCCCCCCAAAAAAATAAGAGACTGCCTACAAAATACACCCCCACCCTTCCCAACAAGAAAAGACAATGTGGAACAATGTCAGGAATGTGCATTCAATCTGATTTACTGTGCATGTATGCAGTTTCCTGGGATGTCTTTACTTCTGAAGGCCCTAGAACAGAACTAGGGCTGTGAAGTTATAGCACTCCAAGTTACAATGCACACAACAATGGTACCACAGCACAGCTCTTTGAATACATGAAAGACTGGAAATAATACAGTCAACTTTTACAAAAAAGTTCAAAACAAGCAGCAGAGGGCGCTGTGACTCAGGTCTCAGAAAACGCGCATGATTAAGGAGAACATTTCTTTTTCACTAATCGTTCCTGTTGAAGAAGAGCTTGCCAGCTAAAAAAAAACAATACATATATATTTACATTAAACAAAAGAAATGTGAAAATTCTGGAGAACAGCTTGCTTACTTGGGAAAAAAAAATTCAGGGCCTGGTTTTTATCCTCAAACCTGGTTGGTCACTGCACAGCAAAACGTAACTGATCCTCCATCACAGAATAACAATGGACAAGAAATGAAATAGCTGTGCATTCTATTTCTTAAAGACCAGCCCTGTCAATCCCATCCATACATACTTCAACCCCTCTCTCGCACTTCCACAGTGGCAGTGATGAGCAGCGCCTGCTCAGAGACCTGCTTTCATTGGCTAGCATCCACTGGCGGCTGGAAGACAGCAAAGCGCTCACATGATCTGCAGGCATGTTCTGTGAGAGGTAGTCATGTGGTTAAAATCTTAACAGGTGGAGGAATTATTACGCGCTGCTCGAGGTGCAGGTATGTCATTAAAGTAAGACTTGGGATGCACCGGCTGCAGCTGTTTATGTGTATGTGTCAAACCAAGGTGGAAAAACATGCAAATGTGAGCTACAGAAAAAGACAAATGTTTTTTTTTTATGATTTTATATAAAGCGGATTTAAAACATTCGCTTTAATATGTAGACATCAGCCTACCCACTGACACACTCTGGAAAGAGAAGAGGCGTCTGAGTTCTCAGAACAAATGTGTCTCCTTTTGATCAGGTGCACATGCCTCAAACTCTACTGTACATTCCTGGCAGCAATCACGTTTTAATTCTTCTACCCAACTCAGGGTAAGCAATGGAACAAGGGCAAAGGCAAAGTAAGGTAGCTTCTTTCAAGAAATGGATGAATGAGACCTGCGGATCAAAACAATAATAATAATTCCTTTCACTTTTATATATTTTCTGGACACTCCACTCAAAGTGCTTTACAGGTCATGGGGAATCCCACTACCACCACCAGTGTGTAGCCCCACCAGGACGATGCTCCAGTATTCTCCCCACACACCAGCTCTCAGTGGGGAGGAGAGCAGAGTGATGAAGCCAGTTCAGAGATGGGGGTTATTAGGAGGCCATGACTGGTAAAGGCCAGGGGGAAATTTGGCCAGGACACAGGGGTTACACCCCTACTCTTTTCGAGAAAATGACCACAGAGAGTCAGGACCTTGGTTTTACGTCTCATCCGAAGGACGGCGCTTGTTTACAGTATAGTGTCCCCGTCACTATACTGGGGCATTACGACCCTCATAGATCGCAGGGTGAGCGCCCCCTACTGGCCCCACTAACACTTCTTCCAGCAGCAAGCTTAGTTTTTCTCAGGAGGCCTCACATCCAGGTACTGACCAGGCTCACACCTGCTGAGCTACTAATTACCAGATAGGTAGATGGGCTGAGGGAAACTCCTCTGGTCTGTGAACTTTCCTACGTTCCTGTCTCTGAGCAGGAAGAAACAATGACAAAAAGAAAACAAGCAAAAACACCTCCAATAATAATGCATGCTTTAGTGAAGAGTGAAGTACCAAGAAAAACGGCCTGCAATGTGCAAAGGTACAGTAAATGGTTCTAATGAAAGAAAACAAAAGCAGAGAGCCCAAAAGCCTTCCCACTTGACTTGGCTGAACCTGATGCCACTAATGCTGATGGCATTATTTCTGCATTGCTGAATGGCCTGGAGAAACTCGGGCCTGACGAAGCGTTTCTGAAAGCATGTTTGATCAGCGTCTACAACAATGAAGCATCTGCTCCTCTGGCAAGCAAGAGGCCTTGACGGTGGCGGTGCTTTATTATAATAATCATCATTATTATTATTTTGCATCACAACACAAAATAAACTCTACCCGGGTTACACCAAGCAGAGTTTCCAGCCCTATCAAATCTATTTACAATAAAAAACAACCTGCTACTAATAAGGACAACTACGCCAATACTAAGAACGACTACGACACGGAAGCCTCCCCTCCACGCAGGGCGCCATGTGAGGACTGGCACCGCAGGCCGGCCGGTTCAGCTGATCCACTGCGCAGGAGAGGGTCCACGAGGTGCCAGGCTGGGACACGGGCACCAGCGTCTCGCCCCGCTGTTCCTCCACCTGGCTGTTTGCGGAGTTCAATCTGGCCCACAGAGTCGCGCCAAGCAGGGGTCACTGCCCCAGGCGCACAGGGATACAGCACAGGCTCCTGCTCAGGTTAGGACACACAAAAACACCAGGCCCACAGACGCTCCACCACCCCACGGCATGTCGAAGACCTCCCGCCACAGACTCGAGGGCTGAAGGGGGTCGAAGGGACGGCGCCTCATCTGAAACTCTCTTGACGGAACATCGTCAGCGCAGCTCAATCTACTCCTTTAAACCTGCCAGTCTGGGAGGCTCCCCCATCGCCTGCCACATCAAAAGCACGCGGATGAGCCGCAAAGCGAACTTAAAACTAAAATCAGGACCCACAAAATCTTTCCGCTCGACAGTGCAGAAGAGGCACCTGTAATAAAACTCTGCAAAATACCTTAAAACTCCCGTCTCAGAAGTAGTGGCCTGTAAGGTTTCAGAATGTATCAAAAGAGATCCTCTCTCGCGGTTATGCTACTGGTACGCCGTTGGCAACAAACAACTGGAGCAAAAGGAGAGAGGGGAAAGTAAAGCGACTGGAACCAAGTCAAAGTGTAAGGTTTGGCACCTCTGAAAATCAGCACATCGTTGCCACAAGCTCCTACTGTCAGAGCCAAAAACAACAACATTGCCTCTAAGGCAGCGCCATGGGACTAAACTGCTCCCCTTCGTTAAAAGAAAACTTTGCAAATAAGTTTGAAGACTTTAAATCTGAGAATCGCAAGTAAAAAAGCCGATGTTTAAATATAATTGAAAGGATTTTTTTCCCCCAGATTCCTTTGCAATGAACTTCTAGAAAGGTCCCCCCCCACCCCCACGCCTCTACTTTCTGCTGTTCGGATTTACGTAGGGCCTTAATTGCGCGTCAAAATGAGATTAAAGCTGCCTCCGACAGCAGATGTCCCACGACTGTTTCGGCAAGAAAAAGAAGTAAAAAAAAAAAAGACAGCAAAAACCTGCGTGCTTTCTGTTCCTGAAGAGGCTGTGCAGAGGGGCTGGATCAAACGGTTCGCTGAGTACTGGGATCATTGCTGCTTGCCTCAGAGAAAAAAAAAAGATACACAAGAAGCCTTCTCCCTAGAAGTTAGTCAGGGCTGACAAACGAGCGCGGAGAAAAGATGGAGAGCAGAGTTACACCCGGGAGACCAGCGGCGGGAGAAAGTGACACAGCTGAAGTCTGCGCCGGGCAGCGGGTTCCTGCGGAAATGAGCGACGTCTGAACCCCCCTCAGGTCCCTCGTAATGATTCCACATTTGTCACCCATGAGGCTCTCTGTCACTGGCGGGTCTAAGTGGAAAAGAGTCCTGCCTCCGCGCTCTGCTCCTTGCTGGGGGAGTCTGGGGTCAGGTATGCTCGCAGAAGCCAGAGCACCTCTCCCTCCTCCCCCTTTCCAGACGCACATCTCCTCGTCCCGAAAGTCTTTTTAAAATTTTAAGAAAGACAAAATGCTGTGTACGCACTCTCTTCCCTTGTTTTCCCCAGCAGAAAAAGAACGTATTCCCGGACCACGGTTGACACCTCTTAAAAGTAGTTTTCATCCAACAAGACTACCGCGCCTTTAGGAAGCGCCTGACGGTGAAAACTTCAGACCAGATTCCAAACCTCAGCCTCGCTTCTTTTCAACTTCGTCTGCAGCTGTGAAAGACATCTATTGCTTCATGCCAGTCGCACCTAAATAAAAAGTCCTGTTGCTACCGGAAAGCACAATGGGTTGGGTCACCTGAGTAACAGCCCCTTTGAAACTCAAATGAAATGCTGCTGCTTTTTTTAAAATGCAAACCAAAGTCACTTTTGTGCTTCTGCATACTCTGGTGAAATATATAGATATAAAAGGGGCCTCTTCACTGCTGCAGAAAGGGCACTCTCTTTTGGCATTCACTCTGATGTTGAGTACGGCTGCTCTCCTGCTTGGTGGCGTTTAAAAAGCAGACGGCCCCCTCTTGTCCAGAGCTCCAGCTCACCCTGGAGACAACCCAGGTCACCACAAAGCCAGCTCCCCGTTTTCACCATGCTAATCAAAGCCAGTCCCGAGGGCTAGGTGTGTGTTGAGAAAAAAAGACAAGAATTTCATTTTCTCAGTATGTCGCCAGGCCTAGATGTACTATTCAGGATTGGTATAGACAGAAAAAAACTGTCTAAAAAATCCTTAAAAAAAAAAAAATCGATGGATCAACAACTTCCAGCCCAAACCGAATACATTTAGACAGTACCATGGACAGCACCGCGAGTGGTATACAGTGTCACTGTCAGTTTGTCTCCAGCCACCTGGAGAGCTTTCTTCGTGTTACACTTCAGGTAGTTGGACTGGCTGAGGGGAATTCATATATTGTAAGACTGAGGTTCGACTGTGGGCCTGCACTTGAGGAGAGCTCTATTAATTTCAGAACAAAATGAAGCCTACACCCCATGCAGGTAACAACTGGAGAAAGAAAGTCAGAGAAAGAAGGAGAGCTCTGTATGTCTTAATTCCATTTAGTCGCCTTTGTTTTAATTGCATATGGCCCCCGTGGAGTAGAAATAAAAACCTTTCCTGGAACCCAACGTTGTATGTGATTTAATCTTCAGAATATTCGATCACAACAGGGCTGCTATTGGCGTTTGCTAGCTGGAGCAGGTGCATAGAAATAATCAGAAAACAAAACAGAGCTAGGCTCTATATCCCATCCCAGCGAGCCTCAATCCAGTTAGACTTATAGATCACCTGTTCTGAAAGACCAGCATCACCTGTCAGCTCTTGAGGGGTCGAGCGAGTAATCTGTTCAATTAACCGGACTCTAGACCTTGGGGACTGGGGATTTTGGCCCTCAGTGATCTTTCAATGAATTGAACCACTCGCCTGTTCCACTGAGCGCAGTGGGGTCGCCCCCTCTCCTGAGAGACCGGTCAATTAATGGCGATCTACAAATCCTGCTGGACCGAGGCTCTCCGGAGACCCCGATTCCCACACAGACACGGAGGGGAGCTCTTTGGGGGGGGCGGGTGCTGCCTACCTGCTGCGCGGGGGCGTTCTGGGCCAGCAGGGACAGCGGCAGCTGGGCGGGGGCGGGCTGCACCAGGGCCTTGGCCTCCGTCGGCGCCGGCGCGGGGGGCGCGTGCTTGCCGTCGCCCGGCGGGGGGGGCGGCAGGGCCGGCTGGGCCTGGAGTTTGACTTCGGGCTGCTCCTTGCTCACCAGCAGGTCTTTCCGCAACTGTTCCACCACTTTCTTCTGCGGGAGAGAGAGAGACACACGGGGCCCAGGCGTCAGAGAGGCCGCCGCGGGTTCGGGCACAGCCCTCCACCGCGGTTTCTGTGCGTTTTCTCCTCGCGCCCGTTACGCCAGCTCATGCGACACATTCGCTCAGCTGCGACGACAAACGTCCCGTCAGTCTGTTGCTGCCCTGCATATGGGGCCAAACAGGCAGGTCAACTGCTGCAGAACTGCAAAGTATTATTTTGTTTCAAACACACACAGATTTTTTTTAAAAACAAGTACTTAAACTGAAAACAGACCAAAAAAACTCTGAAATTTCACACAAATCTGATTCAAATCAGCACTTCGGCGCCTGTGGTCACACTTCTGTGGCGTGACAAGGTCTGTAGCATCTCTGTCAAACTTAAAAAGATGGAACCGAATCAACACCCCATGACTCCTCCGTTTACCTGCAGGGTGGAGATGCGATTTGCTTAGATCCTCTCAGGAACCATCAACCAACTCAGTGTAGCTTAGCAACCTGGCTAAATGTCACCTTCAAAATTCCACTACATCGCCTCAACGGGTTGAGATTCACATTACAGGCTGTATTTCTGTTCTCTTTAGCAGCGGACCAATACAGCTAAAACACTAAAGGAGAACCATTCCCTGAGAAAAAAAAAAACTACCCCCCATTATAATTTAAAATTCTGTTGGAATACTGTGCTAGAAATACTTGTGCTCTGATTCAAACCATCTGGCCAGCCCACCACAGTGCAAAACCAACCATGAACAGGCAAGAACGTTTTTATTTTTTCCCCCTCGCAAAACTTGTAAAACTGCTCTTTTTCTCTAATCATGCGGAGATTTCAAACTCGCAAAAGGCGAAACGTTCAGGTCGCTTTATAGAGTCATTTTTTGCAAGATAAAAACGACATTGTGGCCTTATTGGGTATTCGTTTCTAAAGAACGGGACTTGAAAAGAAAGAGCTTTGGAGGTAAACTACAGCGATCTGAAAGACATTCCTGCGTTGGCATTTTTTCAGAAAATTAAATGCGGAACTTTAGCTAGGCTCTCTTTCGATTCTCGGAGGGGGATTAAAATAAATGGAGGCAGTAAACAGATTTCTGGCTTTCAGCACAAAGACCCGATTCCAACACAGAGCAACCTGCTTTATAAGTATGACAAATTCTGTCAACGCTAACACGACACACAACCCCGACTTGAGACGGCTCCCCGATATAAACTGCGGCTCTCACCTAGAGCCAGAGGCAAGGTCATGCTTGGGGTGGAAAAAGAAAAAGCATTTCATATTCTAATTCAGAAATTCACCCCGAACTTGCAAAAGCTGGAAATTTACACATGAAATTCTTGTCACGTAGAATTAAACATAACCGTCCCCTCTTCCTCAATGGGACAGTTAAGGGAAACACCAACACAAAAGCTGGAGTTGGTTCAATTGTATGAACAAAGCAGGTGTAGAGGGGGGAGAAAAAAGTACTTCACTTCAACCGCTACAGTAAACGTTTTCGAAGTCGTCCAAGCACACAAAAGGAAAGTCTACAGCAGGCTCGCCGTGTCCAAAACAGATCTGTTGCCGCAAACAATAGTAGCGAAAACTCTTTTGGTTGCAATGTAACCGTGGGTAAAGCGCACAGAGTTACAACTCCTCTCGTTCGTGAAGGGCTGACACCACACAGGCAATAGGACACAAATCGACACTACTGAGCTGCTGCACGGGGGTTCGTGTGGGGGAGGGGTGCAGCGTACGACAGAGAGGGTAAAAAACACTGCACCTGCCTCGGATTTACCCTGAAAATACAACTACATCGGAGATCATCGGTGGCCACAGGAGAGAAAAAAAAACAACGCAATTACCAAGCACAAAAGCGGCGGCCGAACCCCTTTTCCATTTGTCCCCCAAGTCGTTTTGAAATAAAATCCGCGCAGGCAATCATCCGGTGAAAGAAAATAAAAACGAGGGGGGGGGGGATTTTGTTGAACAAAAACTCCTGTGGTATATTTCTGGAGGTAGTAAGAAGAGAGCTATTGGGAGGGAGAGAGAGAGAAGGGAGAAGGGAGGAGGGAGGGGGGGCTGGACGGGCCATCTGGCTACACAGGAGAATGAACCAATCGGAAGTGGAGATGCGAGGGTGAAGCATAATGAGAAACTATACATCACCCCAACCCCCAACTACCCCCCCATGGGGCATCAATGTACAGACAACACGAAGCGTTATTTTCTACAAATCAACATAACTCGGGGGAAACCTCTCTTCACAAACAGGAGGCGACTACAACAAACCCGGCATCGCATCAAAGGCAACATCGGGTCTTTGAATCTATAGCTAAACCTTCGCCATTGCTAACGTTAGAAAAAGCGTAACGGCGAACAATAGGCCATGACTGATAGAGGCCCGTTCACGTTTTAAATCGGTCTTTTCAAACGCCCTGCCCAGACAAATGTTAGCAGCGGCGGAATTTGCATATGGTTGTGAGCGCACCAAAAATAAAAGTTTCAACTCGGAAAGCTCCGTCTTCCGGAGGGAAAAAAAAAACCCCACACGATCTGGAAAAAGAAAACTCGCTCTCTCTCCCTGCTGCTCACTTCCAAACGCAACACCGCCTCCCTCTGGCTGAACGAGGCTTGTACGTGTTGAGCGATTTCGTTTCCTTTTATCTTTGACAGCTGAACTGGAGTTTGAGGGAGGAAAAAAAAAGTTTGAACTGACCATTGAGCCAACGCGAGTTTGGCATGATTACCGCGCACATTGATCGATATTTGGATTTTTTTTTTAGCTGTAGGTGGTTACTTTGAACTATAACGTTTTCCATCGTCCCCAATCTCCAGGAACAAACTAGACACCGGCCTTTGTCCAAACTGAAGGGTGCTGGCTATCGAGACCCCATGCATATGAAAGAATTTTGAAAATGCAGGTCTATAAAAAATAAAACAACACGATTCACATTTTGCACTTTATTTTTGTCTATTGTGTCTGATATGAAGTAAATGCAACGGAAGACCTTCTAATGTTACAATTCAGTCTGCTCGAAATCGCTGAAAAATACACGTTCCCCTCTCACCACTGCCGTAGTCGAGGTTTATGTATTTAAATTCGCAAATCACCGCAAACGCGTTGAGCGCAAGTTTCTAAAAGCTGCCATACCGGAAGCCCCGAGAAGCCTTTTTTTTGTTTGTTTTGTGTTCGTGTTTCGATAGCTTTACGTTTTTAAAACCGTGAAAGGAAAACACAAAGCAGTAGGTATTAAAACATTCAGCCTCCGAAGACCATAATCTCCTTTTTTTTTAAGAAAAAAAAAAGATTTACGACGTGCTTGCTTGCTCGCTCACACGCTATGGTTGACACCGCCTGGCCCTTGTTAGCCGGGGTGTGCGGATCTCGTTAAACCCCCATCAACCTGCACAGCAGACGCGAGTTTGGACTGATGCTGACGACGGCTTATGAAATGACACCACGGTGATTAAAAAAAAAAACTGCTAACATTTTAATTCTGGCCCCCAAAACTAGAGTGAAACGGAGTTAACTCAAAAGTTAGAGGGTAAAAAGTCCATTATAGTACAGAACAAAAGCATTTTTTCCCTTGGCAGTTGTCCAGTTACTGCAGGCAAGTCTGTACACCTGTGAGACTGAATTGAAACCCAAGGTATCTCTCTCTTTATTGTTTCATACTTCACTTGAACCATAAAAAAACTGTCCTCTGCCATTTGTAAATCTGAGTAACAAATGGCCTCACTGCGAATACGCCTTAGACCTTCCAAAAACATCTGTCACAAAACCAAAAACAAATGATGACCTATACGGCCATTTCAATTCTGAATTCTGCTTTTAAATTTCCTTCGTGTCCTCTCTTAGGGCCATCCATTCTTTTTAAAAGGTATGTGAAACATTTCTAAAAAACACGTAGGTATTTGATATAGAAAATGTCTCGTTAAATGCAGACTATTAGCGGCAGGTAGTTTAAAACAACCCCATACAAATTCAAGCCAAAGAATGCTCTGTGCTCTACGCTCAAAAAGAAAAGGTATCAATCCTGTCAGCGCTCCCACCTCACACAGTCTTGCCCAGGCGAATGTGGTTTGTAAGCGCACTGTGAGGGTTTCCATTAGAATTCCCCACTTCCTCCCCTCTGCCGTGTGGATCAATGAGCTTTCTGTCTTGCTTGTAGCAGGCACAGCCTGTGTGGCTTCCCGTGCTCTTGGGATTTTATTCTGCCTCTCAGCAGGCAGACACGAGCACTCAGCGGCGCTGAGCACGTACAGTAGCCCGGTCAAGGCTGGAGCAAGATAAGCGCGCACATCTGGGCTGACAAGTCCGAAAGTGCGACAACATCTGCAGGGACCCCCTTCTGGACTCCAGAGCTACTGAGGTGGCTGTGCTCTTGTACCCATGACGACCAGGAAACAGAGCCGCCTCAGGCCGTTTTTCACTCCTCCTTCAGCAGTAAAACACCTGTGTCTTCAGAAAACCACCTGCCTGCCCTTAATTCCTGCTGCAGGCATGTTTACAGACGCTCTGCTGCAGCTAGCTCATTCCCTGCAAAGGGGCCGTGCTCGCTGGCCAAACGCAGGACCCCAGCAAGAATTCTCCTGGCATTCTTGCTACAGCTATCGCCGCAGGTCCGCCCTCACTCATCAGCGCGAATCTTTCCAGACTTGGGACACAAGTTCCAGATCGGACTTGTTGTTTTAGGGGGAACAGTCCTTTCCGACACACAACACTGCATCTGAAACAGAATACAGCATGCGAGCATCGTGTGGGGAGAAGAGAAGAATCATCCTAAAGCTGAAACTGTGCTTCTCTACAGATCAGGCCAGCAGTGTGGCGTGGTGGTTAGCGCTCTGTATTCATAGCTGGAAGGATGTGGGTTCGAATCATGGTGGGGACACTTCTGCTGTGCCTCTAAAGCACCCTGACGCACAAATAGAAGCCACTTGATCTAAACAGCAGGCAAATTAATAAGATACTTTTGCAGCTTCTGTGTCAAAAATAACTAGTGTGCTTCGTTGTGACCT